ATATTCAAATTTTCTGAGACACTGAATTTTGGGTTTTCATTATCTGTAAGCCATAATCATCAAAATTTCAAGAAATAAAGGCTTGAAATATTTCACTCTGTGTAATGAATCTATATAATATATGGGTTTCACTTTCTGAAATAAGTGACAAAAAATATTGACCTTTTTCATGATATTCTAATTTTTTTAGATATACCTGTATATGCAGCTCAAAATCATAAGACTTAATTCACCAATGAAACAACATATGTAATCACTTATCTTACCTTTTCTTTATTAGGGAGTGTTTGTGTTCTGGTAAAAGTGTCTCCGCCATTAATACTGATCAGTTCTGCATCTGCAGGCGGAAATGGCGCAGGGAAAATCACTACATCACTCTTCAGTGTGTCGGAGCTAAAACACACGTCATACTGCTGAGTAGATTTGGAGTAAGACCAGCTCCCGTCAGGGTGAGTGGTGATCATCGGGGCGCTGTACCTGCCCAAACTGCTGTCTGTCCTGTGGCATTTTACAGCTATCAAACTGATGAGGCTCAGGAAAAAAACATTGACAGTCACGTTACTGCTGAGCGGAGGAACACCGGAGTCTGTGGCCTGAACTTTAAACTCAAACGTTTTTGTATCTTCATAATTAAACGACTGTAAACTGTTTATATCCCCACTGTCAGAGTTTATGTTGATCATGGATGTTACTGGGCCGCTTTTCGAGCTTTCTAGTAAAGAATATGTTATCCGAGCATTATCACCTACGTCAGGATCAAAAGCAGATACTGTATGAATAACAGCTCCAATCTGACTGTTCTCTTTCACATAAACATTAATGACGGGCTCTGGAAAGCGCGGCGCGTTGTCATTCACATCAGAAACGTGTACAGTAATGACACTGGTGCTAGAGAGAGGCGGAGTCCCTTCATCAGTAGCTGTGATAGTCACGTTATACTCAGACGCGCGCTCTCTGTCCAGCGGGCCGTCTACAACCAGAGAATATTTATTCTTATAAGTATTCTGTATACAAAAGGGTGCAGAATACTGTATCTTAATAACAACGGCACCGTTTTCTCCCGCGTCTTCGTCTTTCACGGTGATCAATCCCACCATTGTACCAGCAGCAGCGTCCTCTCTCACTGTTTCAGCAAGAGATGTTACGGAAATGTCAGGTACATTATCATTAACATCAACAATTTCAACTAATACTTTACAATGAGCAGCCCTGGGTTTCGGGCCTTTATCTTTTGCTTGGACACGAATTTCTACGGCATTCCTTGCTTCGTAATCAATATTCCCTTTAATAGAAATTATGCCACTGACAGAATCAATAGTAAAAGCGTTGGCAATATTGTCATCGTCATCACTGCGTATAAATGAATAAACTATTTCTCCATTCAAACCCTCGTCAGCGTCACTAGCATGGACAGTGACAACAGAGGTGCCAGGGTGCGCATTTTCCATAATTCTTGTTTTGTAAAGAGATTTACTAAATACAGGGATATTATCGTTTGCATCCTCCACATTAATAATAATTTGTGTTGTTCCAGATTTTGGAGGTTTTCCTCCGTCTACAGCGATCAATATGAGCTGAATAACAGGCTGTTTCTCTCGGTCTAAAGCTTTCTGCAGCACTAATTCAGCCGACACACTCTGCTCTCCTCCGCTTTGAACATCCAGAAAAAAGTGTTCATTCGGACTGAGCTTGTAGCTCTTCACCGAATTACTGCCCACATCCGCGTCAAACGCACTTGGTAATGTAAATCTCTCACCCGGGAAGGCTGATTCTGCGATATTTAACTCTGTCTTTGGTGACTTAAAAGTAGGAATATTATCGTTTATGTCTACAACATTCACCTCAAGTCGATACATGTTTAAGGGGGAGTTAACAATAGCTTCTATTTCCAGAGAGCATTTGCTGCTCCTTCCGCATAACTGTTCCCTGTCTATTCTCTCTTTGACGAGAAGAACACCACTTTTTAAATTAACACTAAAATACCTTTTGTTTGGGCCTGAAACGATCTGAAACCTACGATGCTCTAATTCTTGAAGATTTAGGTTCAAATCCTTCGCTATATTTCCCACTGTGGTTCCCGGATCAGCCTCCTCCGATACCGAATACACAATCTGCCCATCGGTAATATTCCAAATTGAAAACGTTGCAATAAAATACATCGACCATTTAAATCCGTGTTTCGACATTTTTATAATTCCTTCAATAAATTAGTCTCATCCATTCGGTGATTTAACAACACAACGCCGTAATTCCTCACAGCTCCTGCAAAAACAGAGACAGTAAAGTGGCCTTTCGTGAACAAAAGCCCCATGTGATAAACTGAACCCTCCCTAACTGAGGAGGAGCTTTGCATAGCTGGGGTAAGAGAAAATCCCGGTCTCTAACGACACCGCGCGGACAAATAGAGGCGAAGAAGATAACTCAGTATAAAGGGACCCAAAGTCTTACAATCACAATAGAAGAATTTCAAACTAGTTATATTTATAATTATATTATTGAACAATGTTATTAGTGGATAATTAAAATTCAGCAAAAACCTAACTGTATACTGTTTTATATTTGTAAGTTTTGTCAATTCACACTGCACTTCAAGAAAATCAAAACCAGGGAAAATGAAGTTTCATTACATTAAAAATGCTATAACAAACTTGTCAAAAACATTTATTTCTATGTCTTTCTCTTTTTATTCATTTATTTATTTATTTGTATGCATGTTTGATTTTTATTTATTTATTTCTGTATTGCATCATATAAATGTTGTGATTCTCACGACAAGAAAAAAATTAGGCTTTACGATCGGAGGTGACTAAATCTGCTTTCTTGATGTTTGAGCGCGAGTTGCTCAGTACCACTAACAGCCCCAAATACATATAAAGAAAAAACGCATTGTAAAACAATGCAATGTCCAATGTGCGAAAAATATTTATCTGTACTCTAAGGGAATAACTACAATATTTTATAAACACAAGCAAAACAATACATGACCAAAACAACAGAGAGGACGGCAGTTAGCTATGTAGCTCGAAAACGAAACAAGCACTAAATTCGCCACAATTTATACATGGCAATTTAAGATGAAAGAACTGTGGATTTCGATATTTGCGTTTTCAGCACCACGGACAGAGGGCAGTAGCGCAAAAGACGAGACAAACCTGTGCGCAATAGAAATAAATATTTAGGAAGAAAAAAAGATAATGATTCATAATTTCCTCCCCTCAATCTTAATATTAAAAAAAAAAATGACACACAGCAAGAAAACTTCAAGAGAAGAAACATCCGCTCTAAACCACAGTGAAGAGAAAAATGCGTTTTCATCACTTTTAATAAAAATATCTTACCTTTTCTTTATTAGGAAGTGTTTGTGTTCTGGTAAAAGTGTCTCCGCCATTAATACTGATCAGTTCTGCATCTGCAGGCGGAAATGGCGCAGGGAAAACCACTACGTCACTCTTCAGTGTGTCGGAGCTAAAACACACGTCATACTGCTGAGCAGATTTGGAGTAAGACCAGCTCCCGTCAGGGTGAGTGGTGATCATCGGGGCGCTGTACCTGCCCAAACTGCTGTCTGTCCTGTGGCATTTTACAGCTATCAAACTGATGAGGCTCAGGAAAAAGATGACGGACACGCACACAATGGCGATCAGCAAATACAGATTTAAATCCGAGAAACTCTCCTCCTTTATCGGCGCGGCCGCTTTTCGAGCTTTCTAGTAAAGAATATGTTATCCGGGCATTATCACCTACGTCAGGATCAAAAGCAGATACTGTATGAATAACAGCTCCAATCTGACTGTTCTCTTTCACATAAACATTAATGACGGGCTCTGGAAAGCGCGGCGCGTTGTCATTCACATCAGAAACGTGTACAGTAATGACACTGGTGCTAGAGAGAGGCGGAGTCCCTTCATCAGTAGCTGTTATAGTCACGTTATACTCTGATTGGCTCTCTCTGTCTAAAGGACCGTCTACAACCAGAGAATATTTATTCTTATAAGTGTTTTGTAATAGAAACGGAAGGGGCTCGGTTATTTTCAGTTTTACAGATCCATTTTCGCCAGAATCATCATCTTTTACTGTAATTAGACCGACCATTGTCCCCTTTGGTGAACCCTCCTTCACAACATTAACAAGAGAAGTTACAGATATTTCAGGAATATTGTCGTTAACGTCCAATATTTCGACCAATACTTTACAATGAGCTACTCTTGGTGTCGAGCCTTTGTCTCTCGCTTGAACCCGAATTTCTATAGCATTGTTTGACTCGTGGTCTAATTTACCATGAACTGTTATTTCACCAGATATTTTATTGATTGCGAATGACTCGATATTTCTATCATTATTAACATGTTTAATAAAGGAATAGGCAATTTCTCCGTTTAGACCAACGTCTGCATCTCTCGCGTTTACAGTGATGACGGAAGTTCCAGTGGAAGCATTTTCTGGAATTCGCGCTTTGTAAAGTGACTTTGTGAAAACAGGAATATTATCGTTCACATCTATGATATTAACAATTATATTTATTTCTCCTGATCTTGGAGGTTTTCCTCCGTCTACAGCGGTCAATGTGAGCTGGATCACCGGCTGTTTTTCTCGATCTAAAGCTTTCTGCAGCACCAATTCAGCAGATACACTTTGCTCTCCTCCGCTCTGAACATCGAGAGAAAAATGTTCATTTGGACTCAGTTTGTAGCTCTTTACCGAATTACTGCCCACATCCGCGTCAAACGCATTTGGTAATGCATACCTTTCCCCTATAAATGCCGCTTCAGATACATTTAATTGTAAAGATGAAGAGTGAAATGTAGGAGAATTGTCGTTTATATCCAATACATTTACTTCAAATCGATACATGTTTAATGGCATATTAACAATGGCTTCCAATTCTAAAGTACATCTTAAGCTACGTCCACATAGCTCCTCTCTCTCTACTTTGTCTTTAATTTGAAGTATTCCCGTTTTCATATTTACATCAAAATACCTCTTGTTGGGCCCAGAAGCAATCTGAAATCCACGGTTTTCCAGTTCTTGCAAATTAAGGTTTAAATCTTTTACTATATTGCCAACTGTAGTCTCCGGACTGGCCTCCTCCAATACAGAATACACAATCTGCCCGGAAGACATATTCGGAAGGAAATAAAATACAGTCACCAATATCCACAATATATTTCGTTCTTTTAGTGAATTCGCCATGATCCGTCAGCGTCACATCCACAGGAACACTAAAAACATACGTAGACCGTTGTAGTAAAATAAACCACGGTCTGCTCTGCGAATCAGAAAATCTCTATTGTGGCTTCTCACGAACAAAGCACTGCTCCAGCCCAAACGCCCTGCCCCAAAACTGGGAGGAGTCTAGCAGAGAATAAAAAAATAGACCATTTTAGCGCAGGTCGCTGATGACACCTTGTGGATATACATAGGTAGTATGGAACAGAAAATTATATATTGAATATATTTGAAGTGCAATGGACATTTTTTTAACACTCAAACGTCCAAATGCAGAAAGAATAAACCAGTAAACTGGAGGGAGACGAAAACAATAAATAATTGTAAAATAATTTAAAATGAATAATTTATATTTGATTACTAAACTAATATTTATTCATGGGAAAATCAGTGTGACCCGAGTTTTAAAAAGCCCATAAACACAATCGCTCATGTACTTTACATACTGCAATTAAAAACATGCAAAGCGAAATTACTGCACAAAAGCAACAATTAACACTATCAAATAAATCAAGCCGTCGGTGTAAAATGCATTATCGAAATGTTATTTATGGTCAACGCTATCAGCACCATGGACAGTACAAACTTTTAGGGGGACAAGAAGGGGGCAGACACCAAATGAAAATTAAAAGATGTAGCTCATTTTGAAATGTAAATTAGAATCAAAGAAAGTAATTGCCAACAATATAACAAAGGTTTTAAAAGTCTTTTGACGTCAGCGTTTTCAGCACCATGGACAGAATGCGTCGGTGCCAAAGACGAACAAATGCATTTTAAACCTATAGGCAACAGAAATAGTTTATTTTAAGGAGAAAAGGGCAATGGTTCATAATTATTTTTTCCCTCAGTGAGTGTGTGTGTGTGTGTGTATATATATATATATATATATATGTGTGTGTGTGTGTGTGTGTGTGTGTGTGTGTGTGTGAGAAAAAGAATTACTACCCTCATCAAAGTCTGTGGCATTTAGAACAGCAATTGTCGTTCCAATAGCCACATTTTCAAAAACAGTCGTTTTATACAACGGCTTGCTAAAAACGGGAGTATTATCGTTATTATCCAAAACTTTAATTATCATAAGAGATGTGCCTGTCTTAGAGGGTGTTCCTCCGTCTACAGCGGTCAATGTGAGCTGGATCACAGGCTGTTTCTCTCGATCTAAAGATTTCTGCAGCACTAACTCAGCAGACACACTCTGATCTCCTCCTTTGTGCACAGCTAAAGAAAAATACTCGTTCGAGCTAAGTTTGTAAGTATTTATTGAATTTTTCCCAACATCTGCGTCTGTAGCGTGATGGAGAGAGAATCTAACACCAGACAGGGTGCTTTCCGCAATGTCTAACGTTTGTGATTTCTCACTAAAAGACGGAGAATTGTCGTTAACATCCAGAATATTAATCTCTATTTGATAAAGCTTCAGTGGATTCTTGATAACCGCTTCTACACTGAGAGTACATTTAGGTGCTTTGGCACAAAGCTCCTCTCTATCTATGCTTTCGCTCACATAAAGAAATCCAGTTTTTAGATTTACCTCGAAATATTTTTTCTTGAATCCCGTGACAATCTGAAACATGCGCGACTCCAGTCCCTGAACATCAAGGTTTGGATCCTTAGCGATATTTCCCACTGATGTTCCCGGATTCACCTCCTCTGAAACAGAATAAGAGAGCTGCCCTGACACCGCGTCCCAACAACACTCTAAAACAACGAGCACAATACAGGCCACAATAGATTTCCTTCTGGACGGCGAGAACATAATTACATCCAATGAATCCCGTGAAACGATCCAGGAAATAACAGACGGTATTCCGAGTTCATCAATGCGAATAAAGAAATATTAGACAATATTCCATTTTAGGGACGAGAGAACACGAGGCCTTCGTACACTCTCTTAATACGTCCAGTCTGCCTGAAACAAAGCCCTGAGAAATCTACTCCCCACTAAAACCGGGAGGGGCTTCCAGACACGGTACGCAGTTCGAGATTCAACGGACTATAGTGACACCACGCGGATTTATGAATTAATATCCATCAAAAACCTTGATAATATCACACACAAACAGATATCTCATCATACCGAATTGCAGTTATTTGTCTATTTTTAACTAATTCTATAGGAAAATATTTAGATTCTTCGGTGTGTTAAATATATGAGCGGATATGGGGGCATTTTCGTCATCAAAACAAAAATTAGCTTGCATTAGCATATTCTTTATTCATCTTTCATCTCAAGATATATTTTTAAGACTTAACTAGATTTCACTATGAGAAACATGCAGTTCTAATATCCAACTCCCTGAGATTACTGCAAGGATCATTTGTATTACTAAATTATTAAATTAATAAACATATAAGTTCTATCATAAATTAATTTAAAACTATGCGCATTACAATTATTCATTCGTACAGTATAGCTATCATTTCACATTTAGCGCAATAAATAAATTAGGATTAGTAAACAGGAGAAACATAAGTAGTGGCAGCGATGTTCATCAAAAAGAGCACGACCAGTTCAGAACTATGGACAGCTCCACAAAAGCGCTAAAAGTTGGTTTAATGTAGCAATGATAATATATTAAGCAATTGCAATAAGTCTGTTTACTTAAGCAAAAAAAAAAAAAAAGTTTAGCCACTTTCAACATTTTAAGTCTCAGAAACGTGTAACTGTCTGCCAATAAAAAGAGGTCAATCAGAGGAAACACCAGAAGTCACACTAATTTTACAAAACTAAAACAAATGATCGCAATTAAAATCTTTCAAGGTCTTACCTTTTCTTTATTAGTAAGTGTTTGTGTTCTGGTAAAAGTGTCTCCTCCATTAATACTGATCAGTTCTGCATCAGCAGGCGGAAATGGCGCAGGGAAAACCACTACGTCCTCCACCAGGACTTTGCAGTGCGTGGACATCGGAGGCTGTCCTTTATCACTGGCCTGTGCGCGGATCTCAAATGCATTGTTCTCCTCGAAATCTATATTGCCTTTAACTGTGATAACACCAGCATTCGGGTCAATATCAAAAATCTGTAGAATTTTATTTTGATCTCTTTTAATTATAGAATAAACAATATCACTATTACTACCCTCATCAAAGTCTGTGGCATTTAGCACAGCAATTGTCGTTCCAATAGCCACATTTTCAAAAACGGTTGTTTTGTACAAGGGCTTACTGAAAGCAGGAGCATTATCATTAATATCTAAAACTTTAATTATCATAAGAGATGTGCCTGTCTTAGAGGGTGTTCCTCCGTCTACAGCGGTCAATGTGAGCTGGATCACAGGCTGTTTCTCTCGATCTAAAGATTTCTGCAGCACTAACTCAGCAGACACACTCTGATCTCCTCCTTTGTGCACAGCTAAAGAAAAATACTCGTTCGAGCTAAGTTTGTAAGTATTTATTGAATTTTTCCCAACATCTGCGTCTGTAGCGTGATGGAGAGGGAATCTAACACCAGGCAGTGTGTTCTCCGCAATGTCTAGGGTTTGTGATTTCTCACTAAAAGACGGAGAATTGTCGTTAACATCCAAAATATTAATCTCTATTTGATAAAGCTTCAGTGGATTGTTGATAACCGCTTCTACACTGAGAGTACATTTAGGTGCTTTGGCACAAAGCTCCTCTCTATCTATGCTTTCGCTCACATAAAGAAATCCAGTTTTTAGATTTACCTCGAAATATTTTTTCTTGAATCCCGTGACAATCTGAAACATGCGCGACTCCAGTCCCTGAACATCAAGGTTTAGATCCTTAGCGATATTTCCCACTGATGTTCCCGGATTCACCTCCTCTGAAACAGAATAAGAGAGCTGCCCTGACACCGCGTCCCAACAACACTCTAAAACAACGAGCACAATACAGGCCACAATAGATTTCCTTCTGGACGGCGAGAACATAATTACATCCAATGAATCCCGTGAAACGATCCAGGAAATAACAGACGGTATTCCGAGTTCATCAATGCGAATAAAGAAATATTAGACAATATTCCATTTTAGGGACGAGAGAACACGAGGCCTTCGTACACTCTCTTAATACGTCCAGTCTGCCTGAAACAAAGCCCTGAGAAATCTACTCCCCACTAAAACCGGGAGGGGCTTCCAGACACGGTACGCAGTTCGAGATTCAACGGACTATAGTGACACCACGCGGATTTATGAATTAATATCCACCAAAAACCCTGATAATATCACAAACAGATCATCATACCGAATTGCAGTTATTTGTCTTTTTTTTATTTTTTTTTACTAATTCTATAGGAATATATTTAGATACTTCGGTGTGTTAAATATATGAGAGGATATGGGGACATTTTCGTCATCAAAACAGAAACTAGCCTGCATTAGCATATTCTTTATTCATCTTTCATCTCAATATATATTTTTAAGACTTAACTAGATTTCACTATGAGAAACATGCAGTTCTAATATCCAACTCCCTTAGATTACTGCAAGGATGGCTTTGTATAACTAAATTATTAAAATAATAAATATATAAGTACTATCATAAAATAATTTAAAACTATGCGCATTACAATTATTCATTCGTACAGTATAGCTATCATTTCACATTTAGCGCAATAAATAAATTAGGATTAGTAAACAGGAGAAACATAAGTAGTTGCAGCGATGTTCATCAAAAAGAGCACGACCAGTTCAGAACCACGGACAGCTCCACAAAAAAACGCAAAAAGTTGTTTTTATGTATAACAATAATAATATATTAAGCAATTGCAATAAGTCTGTTTACTTCAGCAAAAAAATAAAAATAACCGTTTAGCCACTTTCAACATTTTAAGTCTCAGAAACTTGTAATTGTCTGCCAATAAAAAGAGGTCAATGAGAGGAAACACCAGAAGTCACACTAATTTTACAAAACGAAAACAAATAGTCGCAATGAAAATCCTTTAATGACTTACCTTTTCTTTATTAGGAAGTGTTTGTGTTCTGGTAAAAGTGTCTCCTCCATTAATACTGATCAGTTCTGCATCTGCAGGCGGAAATGGCGCAGGGAAAACCACTACGTCACTCTTCAGTGTGTCGGAGCTAAAACACACGTCATACTGCTGAGCAGATTTGGAGTAAGACCAGCTCCCGTCAGGGTGAGTGGTGATCATCGGGGCGCTGTACCTGCCCAAACTCCTGTCTGTCCTGTGGCATTTTACAGCTATCAAACTGATGAGGCTCAGGAAAAAGATGACGGACACGCACACAATGGCGATCAGCAAATACAGATTTAAATCCGAGAAACTCTCCTCCTTTATCGGCGCATGTCTGAATGTGGTCTTGACTTCATCTGCGCTTTCAACAACCACAACATCAATAGACACAGTCGCTGACAGTGAGGGCTCTCCGTTATCACAAACCAGAATGACCAGCGGGTGAGTTTTCAGGTCATTGTCACTCATTCTCCTCTTAGTCCTGATCTCCCCGCTGCTGGTTCCGATTCGGAACAGATTGTTTCCTTTGGGTTCAGAGATGTGGTAAGACAGCAGCGCATTGTAACCAGAATCTGCATCTACAGCCCTGATCTTGGCCACAAAGTAGCCCGCATCAGCAGAATAGGGAATGTTCTCTGTGTTAACGGAACCGAGCTCGGAATAGGGCGCGAGAATCCCGGGACTGTTGTCATTCTCATCCAGGATAAAAACATTTACAGTCACGTTACTGCTGAGCGGAGGAACACCAGAGTCTGTGGCCTCAACTTTAAACTCAAACGTTTTTATTTCCTCAAAGTTAAATGACTGCATGCTCTCGATCTCTCCTGTCAATGAGTTTACTTTAAGGAGCGCTGCAACAGGTGTACCAGTGACAGAGCTTTGCAGTAAAGAGTATGTTATATGTGCATTCTCCATGATATCCGCGTCAGAGGCCGTCACTGTGGATATAATGGAGCCCACTTTGCTGTTTTCGCGCAGATATGTATAAACTACAGAATTTGGGAAGCGAGGCGCATTGTCATTCACATCAGAGACCTGCACTTGTATTACTTTAGCTCTGGACATTGGCGGTGACCCTTCGTCTTCAGCAATGACTGTAATGTTATACTCCGTGACGTTTTCCCGATCCAGCACGCCATTTAAAACCAATGAATAGTAGTTCTGAAAGGATGACTGTAATTTAAATGGATTTGAGCTGGCAAGGCGAACGTGCACTGCTCCGTTTTTACCCGAGTCTGGATCTGATACCGTCATCAGGGCAATTACTGTTCCCTTTCCCGCATTTTCCTCTACTGGGCTAAGAAGTGATGTTACACTCACATCTGGAGGGTTATCATTAATGTCTAGCACCTCTATTAAAAGCTTAGAATGACCTGACATAGTCACTTGACCTTTATCGGTGGCTTGAACTCTAATTTCAAAAGCGGCGTTCTCCTCATAATCAATATCACCCTTAATTCTGACATCTCCACTTTGCGCGTCAATTTCAAACTTCTCCAAAATATTTTGGGGTGTTCGACTTATAAAGGAGTAAACTATCTCCGCATTCAATCCTTCATCTAGATCTCGAGCTTGTAGTCTGGTTACTGTGGTGCCAATTGGCGCGTGCTCGGCTATGGAGACTTTATATAATGGTTTATTAAAAACTGGAGCGTTGTCGTTTGTATCGATCACATTAAATTCGATCATTACGGTACCAGTCCTGGCAGGCGATCCGCCATCAACCGCAGTCACTGTGAACTCGAGTCGCGGAGTCTTCTCTCTGTCCAAAGCCTTCTGAAGCACTAACTCAGCGGAGATCGTCTTATCACTATGAGTTTGTACATCTAAAGTGAGATAATCATTAGATGTAAGTTTATAGGTTTTTACTGAATTCACTCCAATGTCTGCGTCATGCGCGCTCTCTAGTGGAAAGCGCACGCCGGGCGCGGTGCTTTCACTAACATTAATCACTACAGAGCTCATAGGAAACACTGGAGAGTTGTCATTAATATCAAGAATGTTTATTCTTACCCGGTAGAGTTGTAGTGGACCGTTCACTACGGCTTCCAGATTAACGGAGCACGAGATTACGCCTGCGCAAAGCTCCTCTCGATCGATCCTTTCGCTCACCTGCAAAGAGCCCGTCTCAATATTTACACTAAAATACTGCTTTTTAGAACCTGACACGATGCGAAAGCCCCTGGATTGCAGATTTTTTACTGAAAGGTTAATGTCTTTAGCTATATTACCGACTGTGGTTCCCTGTATCACCTCCTCCAATACACTGTATGAGATCTGTCCGGTTACAGCCTCCAAGAAATGACAGGTCAAAGCAAATGAGAAACAGGCTAATAAATGCCTCTGTGTAGATATAAACATGTTTGCTTATTTTTTCTCCACAATAATTCTGAAAATTGGCATCAAAAATGGATGAAAGAGTTTAATTTCAGTTGAGTAAAGGATCCGTTTCGGGCTACCAAAGACAAAAGAAAACAGCCAAAGATCCCTTTTCAATCCTCAGGACAAACCCATAGCGACAATAATCCAAAAGCATGGAAGTTTTGCATCCGTCAAAAATCCTCAAAGCCAGTCCAAATCCGCATACAATATTCCATAAATGTCTAGATGGTTTTTCACATCTGAGCCCGACGTTCTATAGTGAAGAGGTTTAATACAAGAGATACATGAAGGAGAGGGTGAGAGAATCAGAGAGAGCAAAGAGAGAGAGGGGGGCTGGTCATGATTAGGAGGAGGAGGAGAGACACGCCTTTAATACAGCTAGTGGAACAAGAGTGACACATAGTGGCCTCTACATTAACTGCAGTTTATGATTCACTGTAAAAGCTACAGGGGTTTAAAACACATGAGCAGTTGAACTGATATATAAGTATTAATTTGAGGAATTTGTACTTTATTCGGGTACTACTGAAACTAAACACTTTTCTCTTATTTTATATTACCAAGACAAAATCATTTGTTTTACTCTTTACAATTTCATGTAGACAACAATTTGTGGTCTGACAACAAATTTCACCCTATTTTTCATAACTTTTACCTACAACAGTCAAATACATTTCTGTGTAAAAATCTCACAATGGCCATGCATCCTTATAAAGACAATTTAATCACAACATACTCTAAGCAAAACATGTATAACATTGCTGAACAGTCTATGATCAGTCTATTGACAATTTTTAAATGTAAACTATAAAACAGCCACTGTTGAGTCTGAATTTTTATGTCAGGTTTCAGGATTTTCAGTTTAATATTTGAATTTCTAGAACCTTACATAAAACAAAATGTAATTAAATTAGACAAAAGTTTTGCAAGTAACTTGTGAAAAGCTGTCACTTGAGAAATTCTCCTCTGTCTCCTGATTTCATTTGTATAGTCAAGAAATAAAGTTTACTCTTTACTTTTAAACTCTTACAAATCAAATCAAATGTGGACATTTTAAAGATAATCACTTTTCTTGCATTTTGTAAACTTCTGGTATTCTGTAACATTCTCTGTTAAACATTAGCTGAAGAACTAATGGCAGGAATACATTTTAAAAATCACCTGGTAAATCAATTAACCCTTTTAAATCTGATGTGTGTATTTTCTCCAACCCAAATATCACCAAACAGAATTACATAAATAAAAATTGTTTTCAAACAACCTTTGCCTACCACCTCGTTATACCCCTAGTTCTACTACCCCAACTCCAACAATAAATAAATACAACATGATAAATAATATTTGCTAAGATTTCAATACCAGTGAATACAAGAAGAGAAAAGCTCATTTTTAAAGAGAATGCATTGCGGAGGAATCAGGTCTGATGACTGTGCCTAATCAAACAGCAGTAACTACTGTGTAGTAAACAACGCAGGTTATTTCTTCTAGTATAAGGATAAAAAAAAAAAAAAGATCTACAGGGAGGTTTAATTATTACTTCACAGGTTGGCTCTTACTCTCTTGCTGATGTAAGATGCTAAGAATAAATATGAAATGTTACAATAAATAAATACATAATATTAATATTCATAATAAATAATAATATTTACAATAATAATAAAGTGATAATAGACAGGGGCGTGTCTACGTGGTGGCCAGAGGTGGCACCGGCCCCCCTGACATTTGGCTGGCCACCCCAGGTGCCCCCCCTACCAGATGTCTTGCGATGGCTTGTTTTTAGTAAATTTCTAACTGCATCTGGCAGTGGCGCATCCTGACATG